AAGCGTCGAAGTATTATTGAGGCCAATATTTTAGATACTATATTAGTTAGACTTATTCCCCTGTGATTGTCACAAGAAGACTTTTGTCCTTTCTTATAGATTGGGACAATCAGTGATTGAGACCAGTCGTATGGGATTGCGTCCAGTTCACAGATTCTACCTAAGATTTCAGTCAACCTAGCCGATAAAACTGGACCTTAAATATCTCAGTGGTTAGTCTATCAGGACCTGCAGCTCGTCCTCGTTTCAGATTTCCTAACGCTTTCTCAACGTCATTAAGACTAGGGGGACTTAAGTCGATTCGCCATTCAGGATGACTGGAGATCGTGGGTAACCGAAGAGTGGCTCGTGGCCAGTTGTACTGATCCCTAAAGTGTTCTGCCCATCGATCCAGTCTCCTGGATTGAGAGTAAATAATAGTCCCGTCATTTTCTGAGATAGTCTCACTTACACTAGGATTCCTAATACCAGTTTCCTTGATAAGTCGGAAAAGTTGTCTACTGTTGCCGATCGCTGCTGCCTTTTCCATCGCTTTTGCTTTCGCCACCCACCACTGTTCGACATCGTTACGCAGACTTTTTATGAGTCTGCGCCTAAGCTGACTACGCTCTTCATCATGCTCAGAGTCAGGTGGGATGCGTTTTCGAGCATCCATCAGTTCGGTGGATGCGACTGAAATCCACGGCTTCGTCCTAACCTCATGTTTTACCTTCCTAGCAGATATAACTGCTGTTTCCACAGCCTTTTTGATATCATTCCAACCTGCTTCCGGATGGGAATCGCTTAAATGGTCGCCTAACTGTCTTTCTAGTTGTTCCTGAAATATATTCTTCGCCTTATTATCATTAGGTAAAACCCTAAGAGGCTTCCTTACGGTGTCTTTCCTAGGCCCAGTAAGCTTCAAACAAATACGCGCTCGCATTAGGGCATGATCTGAATCCAAACAAGTGCCCCAGAACGAGCGACAGTCCTCTATGGAACCCCTCCATCGGTGGCTGATGACGATGTGATCTGGTGGCGTCCAACGTTGAGAAGACTTTGGAGGTCGCCAGGTCAACAGATGTTTTTCCTTATGGCTAAAGTTAGTGTTTGTTAAGAATATGCGGTTGTCTGAGCATACTTGCAACAGACGGTCACCATTGTCTGTTCTCTGAGCCGCGACACCATAACATCCACCAAGGTGTCTTTCATTTTCCCTTAGTCTACCTAATTGAGCATTAAAGTTACCAGCCGTTATTATGATATCAGAGCGCCTAGCTTTTTCGAAGTCCGAAAGCTTTCTGTAAAACTCATCTTCCACCTCGTCTGAACTTCAGTCAGTGGGGGGCATAGGCAGATACGATGAAGAGGCAACGACGAGTGTCCCTATCCTTCCGAGTCCTTACTGTCCCATTTAGCCGGACAGCGCACTAGCGACTATCTACTGGGATCCAGTCAAGGAGAGATTGTTCAGCTCTAAGACTCAATGCTATGCCTACGCCAGCAAGACCCCTGGAAGCAGTATCAGGGCTACTGGTTACACGAAGAGTCAATCTAGCTGCTTCTTTATTTTGACAAGGTGAAATCAGATTAATAATTTTACTAGGATCCTGTATGCGCGTTTCCGAGACGCAGCATAACATCGATGACACGAGTTTCTAAAGTCCTAGATAATGATGTCTGTTCCCCTATTTGACACAATGTCCGTACATTAAAAGCTCCAACATGTAGTTAAGAACGGGGTTTCAAGAGACCAGGAACGACGTTTCGTGATCTCGCTTCGTCTGCATTAACGGTGCAGTGAGAAAAGGAAGTGTGAGAAGAGTTAGTCGTAGAGATAAGAGAGACATTAGGGTGTGTAGGAAGGATTTGATTTCGACCAATTTGGTCTCTCGTGCTGTTATGGGTATGAGGGCGGTTGTCACTTCCCGGCTGCCCACACCGTGGAAGGTTGTTTCTTGAGGAACCTGAAAAGGAAGATGGATTAGTGTTGGTGCGTGACCGCAAAGCCCAACGGACAACTGTTTAGGCCGGTCACGCACGGCCTTTTGACGAAAGGTATTTTGAGGATTAGCTCCGTTCTTAAAGGCCCTTAGTGGGCACCTTTACCCAGGGAGACGGAAATCCGTGAGTTAGGGGAGGTGTGACATTTTTAGGGCCGACCTTTTCTAACCCTTCCTTCCTTGTGAGAAGGCAGCATCGCTGCAGATGCTGGTTGTCCGAGGGAAACACCTTACTGCTGTCACACCCCTCTGCAGTCAGCAGTACGACTTCGCCCTCAGACCTTGGGTAGCTGCCAACAGTCTCATCGTTCTCCAATCGACCAGCCTGGCATGGTAGGACCTGCAGGAACATATGTTCCAGCCAGTATAGCTCGGTTGGGTCATCACGATAGGCAAGCCCGACCACCACGTCAAGGCG